AAATCAAATTGATACAGGGTATAGAAATACACCATCCCAATCGAGTGAGGACTTAAAGTTGGAGAATGAGTCATGGTCACATATGATCAATGGTATCCAGGAAGAATTAAAAAAATTAAGAATTTTCCACTAAGGTAAAATACCCGATACCAAAACGAAGTTAATTATGATACCAATATCGGAATAAAAGTAAGTTAATTCATTTTATAACGAGGAAAAGCTGCTTTGATAAAAAACAAAAATTTCTTTACAACCCATACACTTTGGATGAATATAAAAAACAAATGAGTTTCAATTTAAGTTGAACTAAAAAAAATAGATAATAAAAATGCCCTCTGTCTACTGACTGATGATTTGACATATTCCTTTGCATTGTGCATGCATATACGTAATCTTTAATAGCTATGCACGATTTGGTTTTCGAGAATATATATATATATATATATATATGTATATATATATATATATATAGAAATATGTTGTTCGTGGATAATATTAACTCAAAATATAGCAATAAAAATGTAGGTATTTAAAGAGAAACATGCCTTAATTTAAGAAAGCAGAAACAAATCTGAAGAAAAAAAGCACAAAATCCAAGTAAAAATGAGATGAAAAAATTGAAGTCGCAAATTCGCTGTTGCATTAAAGAAAAAAAAAAAAAAAGCTAACAAGACTCATGTTACAAAGAGTACTGCTATTAGTTACATTGTTAACAATATCACTACAATGCAATAGAAAATGGATAGACTATACGAGAAGCTTTACACAAATTTAACATCCTGAAAATGACTTTGCATACCAATTTACGCAATTATACTTCCTTAGACTTGAGGAAAGGCCCTCCAACAATTCTGACTAAAAACCAGGTGAATAAGATTGTAAAGTTGATCTTGTACTGTGCAGACCGAGGGTTTTTGGTGACTGCAAATAAGCTACTGTATTGTTTACAACAACTTATTCGTTAAGGTAAAAAAAAACCCAATAATTGGAATGTAGAAACAAAAAACATTGATGTAAAAGTTCATGTTTGTTCTCATATTAAATTGCATCAACTTCAGCGAAGAAATAAAAAATGGATTTCAAGCAACTGGACTGTACACATTTAATACTGGTAGTGTGTCTTCTAATGTACTAAACAAAAGTAAAAAAAATATATTTAACTCTAGCTCAAATACTAAAAACTAAATCTGTGAATAGAGGTTTTTTTTATCACTGAAAAAAACTTATAGAGTTAACTTACGTAGACCCATTCCGGCATAAAATGTAAGTTAATGGGTACACAAGTATGAAGTTATACTTCTCTGGTTGACAATACATAAAACGATATTTTAAATGACTTGCTGAGATGTATCGAAGGTGGCATCATTACCGTTGGAACAAGGGTATTCAGCAATTTGGTATGGTTTCAACAACCAATTAAAGAATCAATATATGAAAAATTATAAAGAATGTAGTGTATCGGTAAGAAAAGTAAAAACTATAGCCTTGGTAACACGTCTTATCAGGCTGGCTAGTGCAAGACTGTCTACTTTGATCAAATTATCTAACTATTTTAAATCAACTTACTATGCTGATCATATCTCTAATTTTACTTTCGTACCTGTCACATACTCCCACACACTTTTTCATAGTCGCGTTTATAATAACTATACTACTTATCTAAAATAAGCTTAAGAAAAATCATTCTATAGAATCGCTTTTTGTTGAATGAGATGATATTACAGGCCAGTGAATGTAGTTTCAGTTAAACAATCACCTTATTCATGACGAAAAAATACTTAAAAAATCATGCGCAACAAAAATTAAGTGAAATCTATCCATGGAACCTCATATGAATGAGACAATAATAATAAAAAAAAATTAAAACAATGACTTCACCATCAAATATTTTTTTGAGGTTAAAAATTTTTTAATTGTTCACTTTGTCTCGGGAACAACGCGTGTACAGAAGTATAATTTAAAAAAAATATGAAAAGAAAAATTTAAGAGGTGTGAGTAAAGGGGGTGCGCGAAATAAAAACAAGTATTTTATAAAAAGACAAAACGTTTATTTAATTTAACTGCCGACCGACGTAACACACAACTGACTTTATTCAGTTTACAGACTTACCACTGACAAAACTGACAAAGACAATAAAGAGAGCTGACGAGAGGTGTAGAAGGCACGGTAGCTTACACTGTACTGACTATAGGGCCCGCAAGTATCACCTTGCCTGTGGCGCTGTCTTACACACTATATATACTGCCTATTGAAAAGTCGTAGATGCCAACAAAAATAAACGATGCTTTAAATACGATCCTTACTGTCACCACTCCTACGGCTAAAAAACGACAGATGACAAGAAGCAGAGCTTAAATTTCTTTATGACTGTGCTAAAATATCAAGTTCTATGAGGAGATAAATCTAACATTACAAAGAACAATAATAACTCAATCTGCGATGTTAATTTCAGCAATGAAAACGACTAAAGAGACAACCAAAACTCCAAAACTCATAATCATTCGAAGCACAGCAATAGTTCAGACGAATGAAAGCAGTCGAAAAACTTGAAAACTGATAATTATAAAAGCAATCATAAGCCTGAAGGGATCAAGCCTCCCAATAAAAAAGTAAATCTAAATCGAACTATGTGACTGATTAGTCCCTGTTCTCTTATCTTGCTCATGTCAATCAATTTACAAACTCTAGTTTTAAGATTCTATTTAAAACTATCACTTATTCTAAATTACTTGTTCAGTTCTGAATAGTGTCTTGAAAATTATAAGAAACTTACTCTGTTATTAAATATGCAAATGAAAACCCAGGGGCAGACTTGAAAACGAAAGGAGAGAGTTTAGGTGTAGTCATCAAAGATAATAGCGTTTTAAGATTAACTAATGTTATTCGTGGTATAACTGTGGCAAATAATGTAATCTCTTAGAAAATTTATAAAATCTGGATCAACTATATAGCTATAATTAGAAAATAAAAAAATTAACACGTATGTACGATTCTAACTCAAACAAAATATTTTAGAATGGAATTCATCAAGAACTCTACTGGATGATAGAACTGAGACTTAATCAAAATACAAATAAAATTCAAAGGTATTATGCATGTGGTGTAACGGTACAAACTAACTCAATTCATAATAATTCTGAACATACTAAGACCGTAAACCAACTGCTTTTCCTAAAAGTGTTTTCAATTACGGTTCGATTGAGAGTAAAACATGTTAAGATTATAGAAGAGCGGTTGGACATTTTCTCTATCCTTCATATTATCCAATATGTGTTGTAAATTTATTTATCGTCTAGAGTAAATAAAATACTTAATTTCAAGTAAAGTCTCGTCGACTTCCATAGGATACTAAAAATTAATTTAATATTACTATGATTAATAATAAATAAAAACTCCATATAATGCAAACAGACTAGCAAAGTACCATTTTTAAACCATGAGAACATAATTTAACGTATCAAACAAGTTACCCACACGTAGTTCAGATTGGTAAAAACATTAAGATTACAGTGTTTGACAATTTTATAGCCAGACATGCATAAAATATACACAAATTTACATATTACGAAGAATAGAATTTTAAGTTCACCCAACACATGGATTCACAACCTGTTCTAAAAACATACTATTTTGAAAAATCCTTGATTAGTATGAATTAAAATACTAACATCTTTTTTTTGTGTTATGACCGTTAGAGACAATTCTCAGAGATTATACGTTAATTGTAATTTGACTCTTTATCCCATATTCTCATATTATCCCACTTGAATCTGTAATTTTTAGTCATTTGGTGTAAAGTAATTTCCCAATACCATTTGACTCTGCTAATTTTGGTCAAGTTTTGGTATACGCGTGTGAAGCCATCCATTGTGTATGCATTCAAATAGAAGATAGATAGGTTTTACTTCAAACTAACTAGATTTTTAATATACACTAACTCACGCTCGCATCAACCTGGAAAGTGTCTTGACACTTCTTTACTGTGAGTACAGATATGCTGAAAAAAAACTACTAAATAATAGCCCAAAATATTCAGGTAAAACATTATTTTTATCATGGTGATATTAAGTAACCTAATAAAACACTTTATGAAACCGCACAGATATAAAACTATAGAATACAGCTAATCCTCTGGTAGGATTGTGAAAACATTTCTTAAAAACACACTTATATCATTAGTATGTATCAGTAAATTAGTCATGGTTTCTAGGAAACAGTCTTATGCTCCTAAATTGTTTCTAAATTAAAATATAAAAAACAAAAAAATGTTTCTAATTAACAAATGAGTTAAATATGAATAATTTCTCCCTTTTTTCTGATATGTCATAAATTTGACTTTCTAAAAATATTAGCCATTCTGTTGTAAATTTGTTACCTTTAAAAAGTTTTTACCTATATTTTAAAATACGTTAAAAGCCTATAATTACTATAAGTGTTATCAATATGATCAATTTAGTAGATGTAGTAATAATGATAGCTAGTTTGTAACAAACATTCATAGAAGTATAAATGTAATGGCCTAAAAAATAAATTAAAGCTTTAAATTTTGTATACAACAAGCATTATGTTAACATTATTAAATTTGAAATTGCATTTTTTAAGTAGTAAAGCAGAATTTGTTACTTTTCAAATAAATAAAATACTATATTTTTATTACAAAAACTGTTCCGAATGTTTATAAATAAGTTCATTTCGTACATGTTGTAAGCTAAAGTCTGTAGTACCTAAAATTATTCTGTTGACAAAGTTAACATACAAAGAATTTGAATGTAATAAGTAATAAGTACTGTTGAGTACTTACTCTCAATCTTCTTTCTCATGACTGGAGTGACAAAATTTATAAAATAAGAACAGCAGAAAACTGTCATTAACCTGAATTGTGAAGGATCGCTCTTAGTAATTTTTTAAATTAACCGTTTTCTCAATAAAGTTATACAAATAATAACTACAATTAAAAAATTATATTATGTTAATCCAAGTACTATCTAAAAAATATTACCAACAACAAATGCTGTTGCGGTTGCTGTCTCGATACTGGAACAATCCCCCTTAAGGATCTAATTGAAAACTGAGTTTCCCCAGAATTTCCTGCACTACTTATTGCCTCAGATTGTTGTTGATGATCATTAGAAGCTCCCGTTTGCACTTGTCTTACTTCTTCGACATTTGGTGAATCTTCTTCATTAACTATTTCAACTTCGTTATTGTCACCCTCTACTTCTACGTTGTAACGCAGTTCTTCTTCGATTTCTTCATAAGCGTCATTTTCAAATTCTTCATCTTGAGGATTATGAGTTTCCCCTTCATCGCAATCGATAATTACACAAGCATCATCACCTTCTTCATCTTGATCTCTTTGGCTCGATGTCGGTACCTATAAGTTAAAAATGTCATAAGTTTAAAACTTTTATAACAGACACATTATTGTGATGATCTCACATAATTAAAAAAAATGACTTTTGCTCTGCTAATGACAGTGCAATAGAATTAATCATTTGTTATCATTTTTTTATTTATGATACTTTTTTAAAACTTAAATGTTTTTTTTCTCAATTCGATTTTATAGCAAATGTATATGTTAACAACAGAGAAAGTCTCCTGAATACTAGATAATTGAACGCAAAAGTGCCGTCGCATGGTGGTAAACGATAGAAAAAGACTGCATTATAAAAATTAAATATCTCCGGAAAGGATTTATATTTTCCTATATTAAATAATTAGAAAAGTTCTTTTCATATCATAGTCCCCTCGACCCCTTTTTTAGTAAATTTTTATTCTCTTTTCTAGTCATTCACGTGTAACCTTTTCTTCAGTTAATGACTTGATTTGTTGTTTTCCTACCCCGCGACCTCGCACCTTCATTACAATCGTTGAGGCATTAATTTTTGAATTAATGATATTTTTGCTAAAATGACAATTTGACTTTTATTTTTAATCTTTCCATACCATACAATTATAATAATTTGACGTTAATTTTTCTTAAGACGATTTTTCAATCAGAAAAGTAGACAGTAAATGATAGAAAAAATTTTTCTCATAAATTTCTTCATCACTTTACAATACAACTCTAGTATTTAAAGAGTACTATTATAGAATTTGTATTGTAAATTTAATTTTGAATTTTTTAGTAACAGGTATCACTTTTGACATTGAATCTATGTAACTATTAAGTTACTTTCATAGGTTATTCAGTTTTTCGTGTAATAAGTATTTTAGAACCAATCATAATATTATCAGAACTTTATCATAAGCTTACTGAAGTTATTTATTAATTGTATTTATTAAAACTATTTATTTTGAAGTCCAAGGTTTCAATAATGATTTGTGGATCAACTGGGTACGAATAAAAAATTTCTTTTTACAAAAACTTTCTAATTAATAATTAAGTATTTGACTGATTTTAAATGATTTTTTACTCCTGAGTTAAAAATAAGGTTCTCTACATGCAACATAAATATTAAGAGAAGAAAGTTTTTGAAGTTCTTTAACAAGTCAATATGTTGGTGCATCAGTGTAGGAAATGATGGGTCTCGTTAATATGTTTTCTTTATTGTTGGTAGACATATAAACTAGGAGCCGCAGAATGTATGACAGTTATCATTTATTTATTGTTATGTTTCAATATATCTCTGTAGTTTTTTAAACATATATTGTCGTGTTGTATCCGTTGAGAAAATAATAAGGTGTGTTATTTACGTGTTACACATTTTACCCTGTAGCTTCTATAATTTTTTCGAATGTGTTAGGCGATGTTTATTTAAGATTTCTCAAGTAAGTTCTCTTATCTCGTTTGTCAAGTAACTCAAATTCTACATTATGGTATTGCTTAACTAATTCCCAGTGCAACAATTCTAAGTGATGCGATAGGTTCACTCTCATTCTCTACTATTTTTTTTTAATTCTAAATTGAGACAAAATTCATATGCTTAGTTAAAAGCTTTAGCTGTTTTAGTGACTTGTGCTGGCAGTTGACTTTCATAAATTTTTGTGCGTACTAACGAAAATATACTAAAATCTTAGTTCAAGATTCTACTTTCACTGTAGGTTTTCGTGTGCCAAACAAAACAAGTCCGCTATACTTATTGCAGGATTTAAACCTAATTTTAATATTATTTTAATTAAACTGCTCACAAACGGATTCAACTTCACTATCTAAATTAATGATTTTGACTTGAGCTGACGTTTTACTGAGATTTTGCTTCAGGCAATTACAGAATCGATTAGTAGCATCAAATTTATCAATGTTTAATGCAAAAACTGAAATGGCATATATTTAAAATATATTAAGAGATTATTTAAGCAATTGCACAAATATAACTGATTTCAAAAAAATGATTCGTGTAATAATTGATGTTTTTAAAACTTACCAAACCATTATGTAATTATTAGTAAATGAATGAATTTGATTGTATTGTATTAAAATTGTTTTTTTGACCAATAAATGTAATGCACCGAAAACTTTTAATATGAATTGGCTTACAGAAATCTAAGAGATACCTGATGATTGTAATCTCATTCAATCACTTGTTACACTGACGTACAATAGGGCCAATCGAGAAAAAAATGTTTAAAACCACCTACAGTCCTCAATTATGAACCGATTTCTAATTTTCTTCTCACAGTGCTTTAAATATTCACAATCTGCAGCTAAAAACAACAATAAATTGAATGAAAAAATAAAATAAAAAAAAACTCTGTCGATTACGGCTGATTGCACGCGAGTGAAGAGCATTTTTCGACCACCTCCCCCCCCCCCTGGCGTACTTTTACCTACAATTACGGAGGTAATTAAGCCACGTACTTGACTTAGAAAAAAAATTTTTTTTTCCATCGACTACGTAGTCGAATTATAAGCAATTCGAAAATAACACGTCTTACGCAATTTAATAGTCTAATGTATTTGTCTTATGAATTTCAATGTCTTATGTAATTTAGTAAAAATTAAAATGTAAATCACGATATTAGACATTTTAGTAACTTTCTTTTTGCAGAAAGTACTATTGTTTATCATAGTTCTTAAACATTGTTTACAACAATAAGTCTGCTCACTTCTCGGATGTATAATCACGAAATCTGTGTTTAGGAGATCGAAATACATAAGTAAGCTTGCGTGAGAATTTGGATACGAGAAATGTTGTTTACTGCCACCGTCGCCTGGACTGCTGAGTTGAAAGATTTTAAGCACTAAAAACATACACAATGGGGGGGGGGGCATGTTACATCAAATTTATGCATTCAAAATCGTAAAACAGTTCAATAACATTGAAGTACAGTGTTTAAGTAAATGTTCAAGCCTTCGTAAGTTCCAAAAAATTTTTGAATCAATTTGTAACATGCAATTGAAAATTTTAAAAAACGTGATTTTTGAGACATTGGGAATTTTTTACTCGAATACTACCCATCGTGTAAACAAATCATAGATATGTTTTTGCTTAAAATTCTTCGAAGAAAAGAATAAAAAATTTTATTTACACATTTAAACAATTATTTAATTTGTTGACAAAAATTGTTAAAAGCCTAATTCCTCCGGGATTTCGGCTTTTTATACTTAAAATTCATGATTAGGAGTTCAAAATACATTGAAAAAACCTGAGTGAAAGTGTGAATGCCCATCGGCTGTGGGAACCTACTGGGCCTCCTTAGTATGTTCTTCGTATTCTTCATTTATGTTTTCTTGTTTTTCTTATTCCTCGTTTTTGAACCATTATAACTCGTCAGTCCCAAGTCGGTGCTTCTTTTTGCCTGCTAATTACTTTTCGCTCACCGGTGGGAGGAGGAAAAATTCCTGCCCTCTCGAGCTTAACGTTGGTTTCCGCCCTAGGGCGGTAATGCCCTAGGTAAGAAATATACTGAATGATAAATTTTAATTTACTAATCTCATTATGGTATTCTATTGTTTAAGAATTTTTATTATTTAATTAAAATAGTATGAAACTAAATTTGGTTTTACCGTAAATTGTTTATACATAATCAATTTATAACACTAATACGTATATTTCATATCTTAAATGGAAAGACTTTGAAAGTAGGGGGGGGGGGGTTAGCGCGTGAAGTGCACCGGGGGTGGAACCCAACTAGTATGTTTATACAGATATTTATATATATTTGCAATGTTCATTTGTCTGAATGAGGCTTATTCTATGTGGATGTAATCATTCCGGTAAAATGGACTTTACACGAAGCCGCCCACTTTGACAAATAAAAGAGTCACAAACACTCAAAAAAAAAAAATCGTATGATTTTACCACACAGTGAAATGCGTGGTTTTACCATGTGGTACAATTACATGGTTTTTTTATCAGAGAACACACAAGAAGAGCGTAAACGTTCAAGCGTTTGCACTAGAACGAGGTAAATCTTTTCGCTTTAAAAAACTTGTGTAAGTTATCTTAAGCGTGTAGAGATTGTAGGGCTATACCACTTATACGTTGTTTAACACTTTGTCACTGTTTAGTATCTGGGGGAATTTGCTCCGTATCCCGATCTTCAGTTGATGATCTAACTTATAGGATCAAATGTTTGTAACTAAGTGGGCTGTGTGCAAATGAAAAAGGCCTTAAATAAGCAGTCACCTGTGTCAAGTCACACATCAGGATATGGGAAAGTGATAAGAAGTACTTAGCTTCTCAATAAGTTATAAGAAAAACTTTTATGAATGTAAGCAACATAATGAGTTCATTAATGCGTCCTAACACTAGCGTAGCAATGAGATATATGTGTACTGCAAATGTACTTTAGTAGTTAACAGAGCGAGAAGCATGTGCAAAGCTATTTGTGCGTATACTTATATTATAATATCGATAAGCTGTCGCACAGGGCAGTTAAGCGAAGGTATAAAGTTTGTATTAATAGTGTAAGTAATACGTGTAATAATAGTCAGATAAAGTTTGTGACGTGGGAAACCGACGTCACAATAGGAAGGTATGTCGTAGTAACAGACAAGAGGAGAGGCAGCACTATGCACACCAACACTACCCCACCCACGGCCCTTGTACCGACCTATCCCTTCACTTATCCCTACTATAGGCAGCACTGCCAGCCCTTGACTGTATGCAGCGGCAGGTCTGTGTGCGCACCAACGCATACACAGGCAGGTAGCTACAGTATCAGGGAGCACGAATCAGCAGGGCGACAAGAAGGGTACTCTCCGTCTTGTCTGTTTCCCGCCAGGACGTATAATCCGAGGGCTTCGCAGCGTTATATAGTTCTACGGGTGTGTGTGCTAGATGCGACTGTGTGCTGTACCGAGCGGCCAACGGAGGCGCTCAACAACGGCTACCTGTTGGCTACCCGGACTGCCACAACGACTTTCACACACACGCTGTCAAGGACTACTGGGTTCGAGTGCCAACCCCTGCTCGTCGGACATTTCGG